ACTAAAAATACAAAGAATTTTCAAATTTGGGGTGGGCCGTGGCCGGGTAGGCCACCGCTCTAGCTCGGTCCCTGGGGCCCGGTGCCGTCACCAACTACCATCACTGTCATTGGCGACATTCATGTCCACCACCGCGGTTAACCTCAACACTTCATTATTATAGCTGTAAATTTGTGTGGCAAGCATGCTTTTGAAATTAGAAAAGAGAAATCAAATAACAAACCATGTTAAGAATTAGGGTTGTTCACTAATTCGATGCTTTTTATATTATGATTACGAAAAACTTACAAAGTTATTTACTTATTTTAAACTGAAACTAGAAAACAAATACTCCAGTCTCCATACATGATTTCTTCAACCGTTTTTAAATTCAGAAAACGGTTAATATTCTCCAGGTTTCTATATACTTCGTATTTAAATTAGAATATTAGAAATGACTTAAATTGTTTAAAGTTTCTAAAACACGAAAGCTACTAAAAGTTAAAACAAGTGGAAAGCACGTTTATAAAAGTTTGTCTTAGATAAAAACTTTTTTTATTTAAAAAAAAGTTTTGTCTTATATAGGATATATGAGTCCATAGGAAACTAATTCAAGTGATTTGGTATTTGTAATACCAAAATGTTAATGATGTGTTGGCCTCTATATGATTTTGGTCTTTTGTAATACGGAGTACATCTTATACTTCATCCGTTCCTCTGAGAATGTTTCATATTTTCTGCTACCCCAACCTACGTCAATTCACGTGAGTCTTATTTTCTGTACTGTACATTCACATTTTCTGATTTTATGTGTCTGTTTCATACTCTTTAGACAACGAATGAACAATGTAGACAATTAGTTTCTCAGATTCATGCTTCTACTTTCCAAAGTTTGGCTAGCTTTTGTTAAGACACGTGGTTTCATCCTAAAAGGTCAACCTGATAGGAAGAGTAGCTCAAAGCCTTATATAGTGTTTAATTGTTTTATAGCTTTCCAGTGTGGGACAACTACATTAACACGCTCCCTCAGCCTGAACCGGGCTGGACAATATCGGGGTGTATAAACGGACCAAACAAACCTGTAACAAGCTACCCTTGATCATGGGCGTTAAACAAGCCGTCAAACCACAACCGGAATTGGCTCTGATATCATGTTAAGACTCGACGTTCCATCCTAAAAGGTCAACCTGATAGAGTGATAAGAGGAGTAGCCAAAAGCCTTATATAGTGTTTAATTGTTTCATAGCTTTCCGGTGTGGGACAAATGCATTAATAGCTTTCCGGTGTGGGACAAATGCATTAATAGCTTTCTCGAAGTTCAATATAGTGAATGAGATAAGTAACTGGCTAGTCGAATTTCTTGAAGTGACGAAATTGATCTCAATAATAATTCAATAATTGACAATAGTATTCGTAATATGTTACATTGTTACACGGTCTACATGTGTATTTTTAGAAGAGAGACATTGGGTGCGTTTGTTTTTCGGCGGATGGACAGAAACGCCATTTTTTTCAACGGCAAACGCTATTAAATGCAGTGTTTATGCTCAAAAACGCTGAAATACAAACAAGGCTCTTATATATGTAAGGACAGTAGGGTGGACATATGACTGAAATAAGTATTTATGTAAAGTACACAGTGCAATCATGCAAGAACTACTATGAGAAAACATGATCTTGGGAATTAAGATGGAATAAATAAAAGATGGTGAGAGAGCCATAAGCCATTATTGAACTTTTGTTTGCTAAGATCAAAGTAATAGTTGCTTACCATTAATTTGATGTAGTAAATTATCATTATACTCCGGAATTTTTCTCTTGAGAGCACTCTTGATGGAACAAATTAATCTTTGTGTACTATTAATTTGATGGTCAAAGCGATTAATTATGGCATTTTTGTTTGCCATTAGCGACGCAAAAATGCAAGAATCATATATTGGTGTTCGACCATCTCAAGTTGTCTCCATAGATTCACACCCACTGAGACACACTGATGAAATAAATGAATGACAGCAAGTTGCCATTGTTGAAATAATGTGAGGCTAAAAAACATGGAAGCTTTAGTGGGTGTCTATCCATTTTCTAATTGTGTGTTGTTTTCGCGACAGTACTGCTAGTTCCTTGTTAACTACTAGTTTATATTTGGGTAAGTTTATATTTATATACCGGCTAGCATTTAGGTTTTAAATTATAGGGGTTTGCTGATTCTCTTACAAAAATACACATTATTGGACTAGGGAGCTAAATTAGGAGCCCATTTGGTGACTCATGTTTTCGGCTTGTCGACCTTTTCGGTCAGTTCTTTCACCAAACAGGCAAACACATAATTTTTTATTTCACGCACTGAATTGTGTATAATCAATATTAGTGAGATTGAATTAATTTTCTAGCTGAATTGAGTGTAGAAGATGATGTTAGCTAGTTTTTCATATAATGCTTTCTTTTTTTCATTTATAAAATATATCTTAAATTTAACTTTTCCATAACTCAACAAATTCAAACATTTCAACTAGAACTTTATCAATCCCATCATATTAAGCAGATTTCGGTGTTACTAAATAGGCTCTAGAAGAAGTCATTTGTTGGCCATGCTATAAAGAACGGTTGCCGTCCTCTAGGCCACAATATGCGTCTAGTGTGTACTGTCTACTCGCATATAAATCAGTAATAGATGGGAAATCAAGCTGGGCATACTCCATGATCCAACCAAATAGATAGAACTTCTAGATTCCAGTTACAGTACTGCTAGAGATTAGCTGATGCACCAAACCAGAATATATATTTGGGAGAAAGACCAAAAATGACATCAAGTTTTAACAAATCTCAGATTAGACACTAAAGTTTTAAGTAGACCAAATAAACACAAAATTGTAGTTTTTGGTTCCAATTTAACCACCCTTTTAACGCCTCCGTTAAACAATTGTTGCCCATCGTTAACTCCCCTTCATTCCAAGAGCCCTGCAAGCGACACCCGCACTAGCTCCTGCCCCACCCCAGTCCAACACCCTGTTCCTCCCCAGCTCCTGTCCCGCCCTTTCCACCTCACTAGCTCACGATCTTCACCTCCCTATCTGAGCTCCGACCAGCATCAGGAAGGAAACCCATACGAAGGTGATGAAGAGACGACGATGAAGACGGTGGCGGTGGTGGAGGGAAGTGAGAACACGAAGAGGAAGATGAGGTAGCAGAATTGGAAGAGGAGAAGCTTAGCCCACTGGTAAGCGTGGTCGACGTGAGGGTTATCTCAGAGCTTGGAGAGAATTGGGTGAAGAGGGAATGGGCCAAAATTGCGAAGGATAGAGGGAAAATTAAAGTGAGTGATTAGATAGAAGGTCTTGAGAGATCTTCTGGGGATGGAGATTGACTCATTGGAAGGATGGGTAGGAGAAAGAAAGGGATCTGGATAAGGAATTCTTGAAGTTTGAAAGAACGCCGTAATTCAATCGGATAGGGGAATTAACGACAAGGAACTGTTAGCGTTAAAGGGTGGTTAAATTGGAACCGAAAACTATAGTTTTGTGTTTATTTGATCTGCTTAAAACCTTAGTGTTTAATGTGAGCTTTGATAAAAACCTTGATGTCATTTTTGGTCTTTCTCCCTACATATTTCAGCGCAACGTTTTAGAAGTAGCAATTTCTACATTCCCTTGCCAAAACACTTGCGTAAAACTACTTTTTGGGGGCTAGTGTAAGTAAGCTTATTTCAATCACAAACGAGACTTGACACTAACATGACAGATTTAAACAAACTGAACATAGATAGTATACATTACACAAATGAGACAGATTCAGCTATTGTTGATGAACTGAACAAGTGTTTACATGCATTGCAATTTCATATGAGAGAGAGATGAAGCTTTTGTTTCTTATTTTGTGATAAAAATGATAATGAAAATATTCAATTCAATATTCTATTCCTGATTTATCTTCTAGAGAAATCATCTTATTATGCTTCAGCAAGTAAACTTAGCATTTTCCATTTGTGCCTGCATTCCAATTCAATATTCTATTTCTGATTCAGTTCATCTCAGACATCAAAGATTCCCAATATTAAAGAACCTTCAACAACAAAATTGAAGTGTTTTGGTTTCTTGACAAGAAGTGTTCATAATGACCAAGGCAATCAATGATGTTTCCGTGGGGAGAATTCACCATCTCATGTTACCCGAGCGCACCCCTGCATCATCAATACTGGCTATGATGTTTTCTTCAGGATATGGTTGGTTAAGTTCTATGGGTTTTTTATTACGGAGTATTTGGTTGGCATTTAAGATGCTGAGAAAATTCATGGGGTCTAAACATACATCAGGTCTATACAAATATCTACACATACTACATATATAGTTATAATTAGAGAAAGTTGGGGGAGCTGGGCTCACGCCAAACCGCCTAAATCTTCGCTTTGGGTAAAGAGATACACAAAAAAAGTCTACTGTCCTGGTCTCCTTATGACAAAAACAACAATATGTACCGCACTAAGTTTCTTTACTTGGGATTTACTTGGGAGTTGGGAGAGAACAGCTTTGACTCTACCTTAGATCAATGTATGCCAAGAGCTTGTATCCTTCTAACATGTGAAAGAGAAAGAGCATTTCTTTTCCTCCACTCTTCCCTTCTCTCCTTCATCATTCCATTCTCCACAAACCATTGATCATGTCCATCTAGTATGCTTAGAATCTGCCTCATGCTTGGGCGTTGTGTGGGATCCGACCGAGTACACGCTATTCCTAATCTTACAGTTCGAATCAACTCCCGCTTATTAATCTCTCCATCCAACCGCCGATCCACCAGCTCATCATACGGCCTCCTCTCTAGTTCAAATCTATGGAGTTTGTGGACCAAGAGAACTTCAGGCCTGCGGAAATCCACTGCCGTTTGACCACTGATGACTTCCAATAGAACTACACCGAAGCTATAAACATCTGCCATAGTCGTTGCTTCCCCAGACTCCATATACTCTGGGGACATGTATCCGAAGATCCCACGGACCGACTTGTTTTTATCAACTACAACATGGTGACCGTGCTCGTTCCTGGATAAGAATTCAGCAAGAGAGAAGGAGCCAAGCCGAGGGTTCATGTCTGGATCAAGGACGATGGCTGAGGATGTGATGCACCGGTGGATCACTTGCTCTTCCCATTCTTCATGGAGATACCGAATCGCGGACGCAAGCGACTTGACTATGTTGTACCTGATAAGGAATAATTCAGGAGTTGAATAAATATTTAAGGACAGTAAAAATATGAGCAAGTTTTCCATATTAACCTTTTCAAACTATTATTATGTTTCAAAATCTATCTTATCCCTCTAGTTTTGCCTCTTTTAAAGTTTAAACGTTTTTGTAACTTTTTAAAAATAAAATGGTAAATATAAATAAAGATATTGTCCTAAATAGGGATTAAAAAATAGTTGGTTTCCCTACATACGAGTACTGTTTTATTAATGCATGGTAATGTTATAATATGACAATTCATAAAATATTAGGCAAACAACTTGTTTTAACTCTACTTTGGTGAACTTTGTTAATAAATAAAAGGCGAAATTTCCCTGCAAAATAGGAGGAAAAACATTTGAAAATTTGAAAATAGAGATACTGTATTTTTTCTCGAAAACCAAAGTAAATTACTCATTTTAATATCATACTTCATTATGACATTATTACAGGTCAGGCAGACACAGTCTAATGACAGTAATTACTTCTAGGAAAAAAACTTTTTACTCCACTCTTAGGCAATTTCTGAAATTAATATGGTTATTCTCAGTTTGTGACTATTATTATTAATATTTCCTCCGTCCTACAAAACTTTACCAAATTTCCTTGTCTAAAAAGGTCTAAAAAAGGTTTGTCAAGTCCATTAAAGATAGGAAATATGTGCTCAAAGGTATTTCTCTCTTTTCTACAAATCTAAATCACAAAACTTTTACTTCATTATTAATAATAAGTACGGAGTAAAACTTTGGGCCAAATTTTGCGGAAAGAAAGGAATTTTATTTTACAAAAAATTAAAATTGGAAATAAATACAACACAATATACCTGTGATGCCACCTGAGCAGGGTTTGCCCCTCGATAGAAGGTTTGTGATGGAAAAGGAGGTGACTGAGAAGACGGTTAGCAGAATAGTCATAGACAACCAGCATCTCCCCTTGCTCCGTGCACCATCCACGGAGCTGCACCAGATTTCTATGTCGAAGCCGTCCTAAATTCTGGAGCTCGTTAGAGAACCTCATTCTTAAAGCAGGACATGTCTTCATCCCCAACCTCTTCACCAGAATCTTCTGTTGGCCGTCGATGAAACCTTTGTAAGCTGTCCCGAAATCAACCTCTGCAACTCTTCGCCAATCCGAGAAATCGTCCGTCGCTTCGATGATCTCCTTCCAGGTGAATTCTCTCGGAGTATCGACCACGGGGAAACCTCCGTCATAGCGATTGTTCTTTGAAATGGTTGAACGCTCCGATTCTGCGGAATAATACACTGTTTCTGAAGCAGAAACGAAATTTTCTGAGCTAGAGGATGAGGAAGAAGACGACGAAGAAGAGAACGAGATGTAGAGAGGGTGAGATCTGAAGGAGGGCGGGTTTGGTAATTTCCCATAGGTTTCTCCGTAGAGTGCTTCCTGGACCCATTTCATGTTGGGCCTTGAGTGGGGCTCATTAAGTGTGCAAAGAAGCCCAATTTGAATCAATCTCTCCATTTCGACGAGCTTATAAGAACCATCCAGCAGCCGGCCGTCGCCGGCGAGCAAAACCATTCCCTCGTCGGAGAGCCGTCGGATCCAATCGAGTAAAACGATCTGATCGTCCGGGAAGGTGAGGTCCACCGCTCGTCTACCTGACGCCACCTCGAGCGCCACTATTCCGAAGCTGAACACGTCAGATTTCGCGGTGGCGATGGCTCCTCGCCTCTGGAAGCTCTCCGGCGGTAAATATCCGATCGTCCCTCCAATTTTCGTGGTCTCGGCTAACCGGAAACGGTGGTTTTGGAAAGAAGGGGTTCTGGTTTGGGAGTGTTCTAGCCACCTGGCGAGGCCGAAATCGCCAAGCCGGGCGTTGAAACTGGAATCGAGCATTATATTACTGGTTTTTACATCTCTGTGGATTATCTGAGTCTCTAATTGTTCATGGAGATAGAACAGTGCGGCGGCTAAGCCACGAACGATCTTCTTTCTTCTCTCCCAATCCAAAAGATTCTCCATTTTCCTGAACAGTACTCTATCAAGACTGCGATTTGGCATGTATTCATACACAAGTAAGAGCTGATCGTCATGAACGCACCATCCCCGGAGCTTAACTAGATTCCGGTGACGGAGATGAGCCACCGCCGCAAGTTCCGCCGCGAACGTCTTCTCGAATTTCTCTCCTTTCTCCGCTAGGCAACACTTCACGGCCACCTCTGTTCCATCACTGGGCAAAACCGCTCTGTAGACTCTTCCGAACCCGCCGCTTCCCAGCACTTGATCCTCCGAGAACCCGTTTGACCCGACAAAGAGCTCGGAATAGCTGAAGATTCTTGGGTTGTCGGTGCCCACTTTGTTGTCCACCATCTGGACGCCGTCTATGTCGTGAAACTGCCCGGAAAACTGCTTTTTGGCGGCCAAGAATCTCTGGAGGGAATGTTTGACGAAGTCAAAGGCTTGTCCACCGCATCCTCTGCGAGGGGAATCTGGTTGACTTACTTTTCCGGCGGCCGCTTTCTTGTAGACCTTGTCGTGGTCGACCGGCTCTGCAGACTCATCCGCCGGGAGGATGAAACAGAGGCTTTTTAGATGCATCTGGGGACGGATTTAGAAGCAGGGGAAGAGATCAGTAAGAAAAATCAATGGTGTGATTTTGAATGAGTGCATAGATATAGGCACCCTAACTTGGGATGAGGATGATGAATTGTTGATGAGGATAGGTTCAGTTTGGTGATCCAATATTCTTTTTGCAGCTCTTCTTCTATTTATTAATGGATTCCACCCTAAATCGGCTAGTTTTCATTGATGGATACCACCCTAAATCCGTTGGTCCCACACGTGCTATAGCTTAGGTGAAACTATCTTCAACGAAAGAGAAGTTGTTCTGTGCCATTTTTTAAAACTAATCCGTATTTCATTGAATGGAATCACACCTTCCCGCCGACAGTGTGACAAAAAAAGAAACTATTACCTCACTCCCAAAAAGGTATACTAGTACGGTACAATTTTAAAACTACACCATGAATAAGAAAAGTGAATTTGAAAAAAGGAAAAAAAACTAGGACGAAAGGAGTATTTTGTGCCATTTTTAATAAATAAATATCCATTAATATTACTCGAGTTATGAAAAAATGTGACTTGATAGCTTTTAGTTACTATAATTATATTCAAAATTATTATGATTTCATGATGTAAGCTTTGAACACAGTTATTGTAACTATAAGTTATCAAGTCACATTTTTATCCATAACTTTTGTATTATTAATATTTTAGGAAAAATTCTTTTTAATACGGAGTATCATTTTAAGCAAATTATGAATCAATTACTAGGTTTTAAAATAGAAAATGTTCCCAATGTAGTCATGTAAGGTAGAGAGTATTGTTGAAATGCACACTTGATAATTAACCAAGATTTTCGTTTATCGCCAATTGGCCAGAATTTAATCACAAACTTATAGATATTTCTCAAAATAATATTCAAATTTACGAACACAACCTAGTATATCATGCAAGTAATTAAAAGAAGAATGAGCAATAGTGAGTCTGATCCCTCTGTATCATACTTCTGTAGTATATATGTACTACCTCAGTTCCTAAGAACTTTGTCTATTGTGGTAAAGTTTTCAAGTGATAAAGTTTGGATCATGATTTTGATTAGTATAATATTATGAAAGTGGTAAGTTTTATACCTTTAAGAAAGTACTTTTAACAAATAACGTTTTCACATAATTTTTATATCATAAATAATTTTCTACAAAGATATATAATTGGTCAAAGTTGAACATGGTTGACCAAAAAATTCAAAAGATGACAAAGGTTTAAGCGACAGAGAGAACATGATTTATCACTCACTAAGTATAACCTTTTTTTTATGGACTCACTAAGTATAACCTTCTTTCAAGTAAATGAAAGAATTAACCCCAACCAAGCAGTATAGCCTAGCAGGTTTTGAGGTTACCAATGTATGTGAGGTCTCCTATTTAAAACTCACTAGTATCAAAAGGAAGATGAGGGGGTTGTTGCTCTCAATGATTTTCCTTAATTACCTTTACAGAATTGCGGATTCACATGGTAGGAGTACCACCCTATTGCAGCTTGGCGCACTGGTGATGGATGTTCTGTTGGATTCGTCCTGTGAAATCAGTACCGATGAGGCTGCTTGTGATCAGTATCGAGGAGCGCAAACATTGACACCTGGACCAAAAAGGGAAAAAAATCAATCCCTTGAAATGGAAATATGGGAGTATGTTTATTTGTCACAGGTAGTTAGGGCCTTAGGGTGGTCGGTGGAGCAACTAGCTCCTCATTAATAGGGTCATTCAATCCACAGTATCTAGCTCAACCTTACATTGAACGTTTTTTCTTGAGACATTTTGGTTTCAGCCCCCAAAAAATGGATGCCTAGAGTGGCGTGTTTGGATAGCAGCCTATCAGCCATTTTTAGTTGATTTGACTAATATTTGACCTTTTGACCAAATAAACAACTAACAAGGGTGTTTGGTTAAATGTCTTCTTCATTTGGCTTTTTATTCTAAACAACCAAAATAAAAAATGCCAATAAAAGTGACGTTTAGTCTTTGGCTGTTCGAGAACCTGGGACAAATTCCTATTTTATTCGCTCTCTTCTCCTCCTAATGTCTCTTCGACATCTTTCACGATAAAGAAAAACAAGCCATGGCGAAACCTTTTCTGAATCGATTGATAGATAGATCTAGGACAAATAAATAAATCTAAAACAATCAGAACAAGTTCTTAAAATCAACAAAGTCGTACTATAACTTCCTCTTCGTTTCGCTGTTTAAAGCTGGAGGATTTTTAGGGCAGCCCATGGAAATCTTGCACGTATTTCGTATATATACATGTATATGGAATAAAAAATATTGATCAATCCGTTTTCATTCTTCAATGGTGCAGTTCAAAAGACCTTGGATTTCAAGTTTTGAGCCAAGTAAACTCTCAAATGTCAAATCTTCCCCTAGCAAGAAACTGAAAAAACTCTTTCAAATTAGCATTTGCGATTCAATATTTTTATTCTTTGTAAGATAAGGCGTAAGTGATAAGGTTTCAAATTAGCAACCATTAAAATTTACCGCACCAAAAAGTAAATAAAAAATTTAAATGATGCCCTTAAATGTCATTTAAAATGATATCAGCCGATTGTAAACAGTTATTTAATCAAATATCATTTTACAAACTCCTAATATTAACAGTTAATTAAAACAGCCAATAGAAACTGTTGTCGTCAATCAGCCAACTGTTGAGTTTAACTAACAGCCAACAGCCAATTGCCAAACACTCCCAGTGGGAATCAAGTTGTTCAGCTTGAGACGCTCCGGACGTTATCAGTATTTTTTGCTCAAAATAAGACGCATTAAATCTTTAAACAATTATTGTTTTAAAATGTTTAATGAGACTAAATACTCCGTACTTTAAATAAAAAGAAAATCAATTAATCTTATATTCAAAGTTTGTTCTAGGAAAGGGTTTTGAGCATGATTAAATATACTCCCTATAACATATGGGGGTTTAACGTTTTTTGAAATCACAGAGCATTAATGCGTCACCGTATATTTAGATTTTGATTTTGATGCATTAAACACTATGTTTTCTCTTGGTTTAAAGTAAATTCTTATAACTTTGTCATCCCCGAATGAATTCAAATATTCAATTGCCTGGAATATAATGGTTTCGTTGGAGTCTAGGCTGATGATGGGGGTTGGAATAAATTAGGCTCACTTGAAATTGGAGTTTGATGAATGTAAAAAATTTGAACCGACTAAACATACTGCTTTGGTTTAATAATCGTACCATATTAAACTAAACTAAACCAAATAGAAATTGGAGAATATATAATGTGGTTTGAATTTGATAGTATTTTTTCAAAAGCGGATTAAATTGAACCAAACCGAAATCGATATAAATCAAACACAATCGAACCGAACTAAATGCATTCAATAAAACTTTCATATGTTAAAAAATAACAAATTAAAACCAAATCAAAATCCAACCAAACAAAAAATAATATCATTTTGTTTGCTAATAATTCTCCAACTCATTCCGAATCGAGCTGAACCAAAATCGATTAAAATCAAACCGCAAACCGATATACAAATTCCACGCAATAGTCCATTGTGATTTAGAAAATTCACCAAAGCCTCTTGTGTTACTATTAATGTGTTTTGACAGATTTACTTGCATATTCAATCACAATATTAAGAAAAATGATTTAAAATTGTTAATAGTATTTACAAAAGAAGTTATCCCGTGAATAATTATAAGATATGAGAGTTTGACATAATTTTAAAATCGCAAAAGACTAATGTATATAGTTTTTACTTGGACTGTAATTTGTTTCAGACAAGACTATATCAGACCAGACTTACATAATTATAAAAATACAAAGAAATCAGACAAGACCATATCTGATCAGACCAACAAATTAAGTAAAAACATCCTTACTCCTCGTTATTACTTCTTACCCCATCCGTCCCGCTAAGATTGTCCCATTTTACCTTTTCGGGAAATCCCACTAAGATTGTCTCATATCAAATTTGGTAAAGTTTGTATGGTTCTAAATTATTCTAACTTTATTTTTACTTTATCAATTTAATATCAACCACACAACCTTACTTTTTTTAATAATCGTGACACATTCTCTTGTCCCAATTTTAGTGGGATAGAGGTAGTATGTGATAGTCATGGTACCCGCCCCCATATGAAACTTTGCCGTGTCATGAAGGAGAGCTTCGAGAAGGTTGGAAAATGATGGGGTGACTACCTTTACCTTATTGGATTTTCTGACATTACGTGGGAATGTAATCTAGTCTAGAACTAACTCGTTGCCGCGTGGTCCGATTCACCTCTTTGCTTTATACTCGGTATGATCCATCCTTTTGTTTCTCTCTATTCTTATAAGATGAAAAGGACAAAATTTTCCTTTCTTTCTTTTGTTTGTTTATGTTCTGTTCACACTAATATTGCGGCCATTTGTCACACCATCATAATGGTTCCATACACGTATAGTAGTAGTATGTACTCCGTAGTACTCTCTCCGTAACATTTATATCTTCCCACTTTCCATTTTTGGATGTAACATTCATATCTTCTCATTTCATAATCTTCCAATCATACCCTCAATAATTTTAAAAATAATACACTATTACACCTACTTTTTTGGATTTATCCTTCATTCCAACACATTATTTCACTATCTTCCCATCATACCCTCAATAATTTATATCATCTTTCACTATTCTTAATCTACCTACTTTTCAAATGGGAACATATATATGTTACGGAGGGAGTATATACTACCACACTACGTATAACCTTTGCACGTACACGGTACACAGCTTAATTCGAAATAATAATGTGACATTATTCTTCGATTATGAGAAAATAAGTCAAGAATGTAAATACTTGATCACCGGCCATAGTAATACACAAATAAATTACAAAAGATAAATTACAATTTATTAGTTGAGAACTTTTATCTAGGGGTGAGATCGGATCGGGTTGGGTTGGTTCGGTTATCGGGTTTTGGGTCGGTTTTTCTCACCCCTACTTTTATCAAACACCTAGTATGCGTAAATGTTCATTTCTGGTCTTAGCTAAGAAATTAGTTTCTTGAGCTCATACTAATTACAAAAGAGTAACTAAGATAATGAAAATACAATAACATACAAGAAATATTACATAGAACCAATTGTAGAGATGAGAAATGACTTCTTCTCCAACACTTCATCAGAATGCAAAAATAAAATATAAAAGATAAAATTTAATGTGCAAGGATGGATCGATGATCTTTTTTGATGAATGGGGGC